ATGATGATGATGATGATGATGATGATGATGATGATGATGATGATGATGATGATGATGATGATGATGATGATGATGATGATGAGTCGTATATCATGGCAAAACAATACGAAGCTTTACCCAAACAGACCCCAGACGTGATCCTTTGGTACCAAGCTTGCAGCCCAGCCAAGCTCGCTTGCTCCGACCCCACCGAGCTCTAGGACCCACCGGGGACTACCCTCCAGGGGGCTTCAAATCCATGCAGAACCTGGACACGGAGTGTGGATGGACCAGCAGCTGTTTGGAAGGGACCTGCACTTGCCCTTTCCATGGCTTTGGGATGGATCAGAGCCGGATTGGTGAGATTCGGTGACCCAAGTAGCAACCTCATTCAAGAAACCACCGTCTGACCGGCAACATGCATCATGAAATGGCGTCTCAAGAAATGGGCGTTGCTTCCGGGTGACGGCTCTTCGTCTCCTCCGAGCCCCCGCACTGGTGGACACCCAAGCCACGCGCGACCTCTGCCAAAGGTTGTGCGTGGTTTTTGTGCGCCGTGTCAATAGTAACGATTCCCAGAATGGGTTGAATGGAACATCTACAGGAAACCCATGGTTTTGGGGGTTCAAACGGTTTCCTGATCTCCGTATGACATTCGGGGGGGGTGCTCCTGGAATAAAGTACAGTAAACATTTTGTAGCAAGAGAATGAGCCCCATAGTAGCGTCCGAACGCTCCTAGTAAGGCCAGGAGCCCCTATACTCGTAGCGTCCGAACGCTCCTGAGATCCATCATCCGTTAAGCACCGGAAACACAAAACATGTGGTCCATGTGGAATATAAAACGCGGTCCATGTGGTCCACAGTTGCATCGTTCATCCAACGAACCACTCCCCAAGAAGACTGTAGAATCCAGAAGCTTAAAGCAATAATATACAACCACGAAGCAGTTGGATGAACCACTTATCCAAAGAATCACTGTTCTTGTTGCTTCATCCGAGTATCCACTCTGTGCTCTAAAAACATATAACGCACGCGACATGTCGTCTGACATGAGGTCCCTGGACTCTGCAAAGGTCTGCATGTTTGATGCCAGGACATGGGGACAGAAGCAACATAGGGAGAGTCCGGGTATGCAAGGGGTGATGCCAGCAAGATGGTTTCTCTGTAAAATGAACCCCCCCATGTGTCAGTCAAAGCCTGACTTTCCTTCATAAAGATCATCGGATACCCCATGTCGTAGTGCAAAGTTCAACAAGTCTGCATCATGGCCACAAGAAGCTTCAAAGGCTCAATGGGTCAGTTGGAAATTGGAACGGATCAAGTGTCCAAGTCTTCAGTCTGTTTCAAGTTCTGTTTAACATCAGTTCTGCGGAATGCCAGACTGCCTGGCGCACCAGTGGAGTTTCAGCAGTCAGCTAGGACTCAGTCTCTTCAGCTGACAGCCATGGAGCCCCCCCAGAGATCCCATCTTCTCATGAACCTTCGAAAGCCAAACAGCTGGTTTGACCCAGGTCTTCGGCTTCCAAGTGGTTGAGAAAACGGCACACGGTCTCCGCTTACGACGGACAAACCAATGGACAGAAAAACAGAAAAGGTTCAGCCAACTCTTCATTCATATTGTAGAAGTCATTGTCATGCTGAGAAAAGGCCGGCCAAAATCTGTGGGGGTCCCTTAATTTATATTATATATATACACCTATTTATGCATATTTATATGTTTGATATACTATGCCAGCCAAAAACACACTAGACACGATCTTGTGCACTGGCCAGAACCTCTGCTGACCACTGCCCCTCCCTATCTTTCCATCTCAAAACCCCTCGCGACCCCCCCCCAAAACCCTCGATGTCGGACCTGCAATGGCGAGAAGGAGCAGGCTGGCGAGTGTTCGCCCCCTGCCCATCGGCGAATCGGGGAACTCCCGATTCGACTCCCATCCACGTGGTCCGTCGCGCGACGAGCGTCGACCGTCTTCCTTCATGCAGAAGTCTTCTTGACATGAAAAGAATCCCACAATAGAATCACCAGATGCTTGCCTTCTTCTTTTGCAGTCTGATTATGTGCTTATGTGCACGTATGTGCACTTCATTATAACTTCGTTTGCAGACTGAGGCCACCAAGAAAGACATATGATATATACTATGTGTTTCCAGAGACCTTGACTGGACCCCCTCAAAAGTACTTCTTTACAATAGCGGATTCGACTCAATTCGCTCTGGTAAATCGCAAATCGATTCACCGGCACAGCAAACATACAGTGATTTCAAAGACCCAAGATGTCTTTAGATGGGAGCCATAAACCACCGGCATTAGGGATTGTGCCATAATATGCCATAATGCCAGAGCAAGCGTTGGCAACCTACCTCAAAACAGGCCATGGTATTTCCCACACATTTCACAAACCTCACATTGGGAACTCCTTAGTATATAAAATTGGGATGGACCAACTAGCAGTGATTGAAAACTTGTCATGTTCAGCGCTGAACGCTGTGGTACCGCAGAATATACTTTAAATTGAACGAGAACAGCTTCCAAATCATGCTTTAGGGTTTCTCAAGGGAGTTCAGTTCTTATCTACATGGGGAGTGGTGTCAGGGTTACAACTACACATACTGCAAGTATCCGCAAGTTATTTTGTCAGCGAAGAATGGATATCAAAGAGGTTTCGCATGATCACAGTGGCCTGAAACTCAAATATATAACAGTATAACATCTAAGTCACTAAGTCAAAGGGATTCAAAGGGATACAGTATATGACACCTTCATTGCACTTTCAAAGGGTCTGCCCTAAAGGAATGTGTCTGGATGGACACTTTTCCCTTCAGGAGAAAAGCACACACATATATATTGTTCGCCTGAAACACGGTAGTGACTTGCTACACTTCAGTGCTTTTACAAGTGCCGCGGTCAGTCAATGGCTTGATGCTGTTCAACAAAGCCGCTCGTGTGCTCATCCCCCAGTCGAAGAAGCGGACCGCAAGCTGCTCGTGGAGTCTAGCGGTCTGCGCCTTTTTGCCAGGCACTGTACATCAGGGCGCCAACTCCTGAAACACTGAGAGAACCGTGTCAAAAAACCAAGAGCTTTTGAATGGCTGTTTGGTTTCACGAGACTCCCTTAACTAACGCCCCAAAAAGGGTTGATAATATATCATGATAATATCATTGACAACATTATTGAAAGAAGCCATCGAGTTTTTTTTGACACCAGCGGTTCTTCCTTGCACTCTACAAGGTCTCTCCCAAAACTTGTTGCTTCGCTTGCTTTGGAAGCGATGGGGAGAGAATTCGCCGGCTTTCGTGTCAGGCGTTACCCCGGGAGCACGAAAAGGGCACTTGAATTGCTGCAGGTGCACCTGCAAACATCACCAAGGCATTGTCCACCGGATGAATACAAAACGAAGAGTCAGTCAAACTCGACCATGACAATGAGGCGAAAACAATACCAACACAACTACGAAAGGCAGAAAAAAAAAACACTGCACAAATTGAATCAATGCCCCATTATGCCCCATTGGAATATCTTATGTAGACCATATGCCAGCATCCTCACGAAAACATATGAACACTTATTCTTTTTTCCGAATGCTTTGGTGCAAAATGCATCGGTGAAAGCCACTCGACGTGGCGCCGTGAAGCCCCTCGTTCTGCGAAACGGCGTCTCAACGGGTTGCCTCGGCATCTCAGAAGGCGGTGCACAAGAACTGGGAGGCCTCTGCCTGGCTCGTGCAACTGCTCGGTGACACAAAAAAGGTGACCTTCAAAGACCCAGAATGCGTCTGACCTGCTTGACCCAGGTGTCTTTTTTTCTGTCTTTTTTCTTAGATGGTTTTCCTGAATTCATGCGGAACTGTCGAACTCGAGGGCGATTCGTGAACGAAGGCCAATCTTTGAACACTGAGACGCTCCTTGATTGACAAACGGTCATTTTTTAAATCTGGAAGCAAATTCTTCAAAACAAAGGGATCACCAAACATCTCCTGCTTGAAAGGACATCGACAATCGCGACCCCTTGTTGGCTGCCGGGACCCTCTCCATCATTTTCAGCACCAATTAGCTTAACTTAGTTTCACCTAAACGCCTAAGCCTAAGCCTACTAAAGCCAACCACACAACCACAAGAAAACAAACTTGTGAGCACCAAAACCATAGCGAACTCCCTTTTTGTTTACAGGACCTCTGTCATTTAATCCTATTTACTATTTACTGTTATCCCTTGGGCCGCTCATTTTTTCAACCACCACCCCCACCGGCCCCGCCCCGTCAACCTCGCCAGGGCGTCCAAGAGCTCACCCTTCACCGTGGTACAGGCCACGGGGCGTCCACCGCCACGGCCGGTGTGCTCCCCCGCGCTGGGAGAGCGGAAGGACGCGAAGTGACTCCAGGAGTGACTCCTGGCGCGACTCCGGTGCGCTCACTCGATGTGGGGAAGACCGGGCATCACGGACCGGACCGTGATGCCTGGAAGCGAGAAAGACCAGGACCCCGACTGTAGAGGTCTCCGAAATGGTGGCTTTGGCAGACTTAAAAGTCGTAGCAAGTTTCATGACCTGTAGAGTCAGGTGCTGGTATAGAGTTTCCATGGGTGAACATGTTCCACTCCCATGGAAGGTGAGTCTTAGGGTATGACGGATTGATGAGGGTCTCTTTGTTTGGGCTGATTGGCCTGGTCGAATCGACCCACAAAAACTTCATGGGACTGGCAGATGGAAACCGAGACTGGGCCAGGGTGGTTGAAAACGGGTCAATGTAGGTCTAGATGGATGGATGGTCTGGGTTAGGGATCATTTCCCACTGGCGCACAGTATCCTTTTTTTGGTTTTCGAACCTGGGCTTGGTCTATCTATCTGTTTTGTTGGCCGTGCTCCAGCAAAAAAACGTCATCAAAGGCACATCAAAGGTGCGATCGATGTCATGCGTCTCCCAAACGCAGGACAGGTCAGGGCCAAACTGGACAGCTCAAAGAAGGGTTTAGAGTTTAGGGAGTATAGTCTCCATACAAAAGCCTGAGAACTTCTTACCCCCCTTGGTGTGGCTACAACAGCATACCGGAAACCTTCTTAATGACTTGCTCAGACTGGGCCTTCTTGCTGACCGGAAGGTCCCGTGCAGATTTGATTCTGCCTTTGAAGAGCTCCACCTTCACCCCAATTGAAGGAGCTGCACCACATACCGACTCTGCGGGTCTTACCTTCTATGACCCCACTTTCTGTGTGGGGTGAGCCCTCCAAACCCGCGGCTCGTCCTGACGAGAACACCGGTGGTACCGCGCCGTCCGCTTCGTCTTCATCTAAAAAACGCCGAGCGTCTGAAAGAGCTGATCCTGGAACTCGGCGCCTTCCCCACAGGCCCAGCCTGGAAGGGGATGTCTTCAGTGCTCCGGAGTACTGGGCGAGTGCTTAAACGCCCCCCCCGTCGGATCCTGGGATGATGGGTGCGATCACGTTCACAAGACGTTCACCGTGGTGAGGTCTGAGGCACATCGTGATCTTTTTCCACCAGAAAGGGGGGGCGGCTGTAGGTCTAGAAGCGTGGATCTCTTCAATTCCCAGAGCATCTGGACCCCATTGATGACATTGATGACGATGACAATGACAAGCCCTTTGTAAACATGACCTAGACGATCGTGGTAGGTAGCCCTATGACCTCAAACCTTCACCACAAAAACCATCAGTCGCTTTGTGTAGGCGAACATATACATGGATCATCTGGGTAGTAATTGGTTTTGACTACAGTGCATGCGACCAGAGTTGAACGTTCTACACATGACTGTATATATATAATATATATATATACATCAGGAGTCACAAAGGGGTGGTTTTTAGTCCCTAAGTGAGTGGATAATGGACACCCCTATCCTCCAATAGGCACCCCTTTGTGAGCTATAAATGCTCATAAATGATCAAGAGTCAAAAGTGACGTGATGTATCTTGAGAATGCTGTCCGCGAGCACGGCCCAGCTTTTTGAGGTTCTAGATGGTTCTAGGCAATTGATAGTTACTCAGTGGTACATGTCCATATCATCTAGCCTCGCATCTCAAAACCCAATAGGGGGTGGTTGGTTGCTCCAAGCTTCGCACCGACTGCTACAACGCCCTCGGCACACCTTCAACTTGTGACCGAGCGCACGCATCTTCACCGGCCATAACACAGACATTGCATTGATGGCTGGCTACCAACTGGCCAACACTTACCACACACGCATCCAACCTTCCACTGCACCACCACCCACATCCCTCGAGCACAACCTGGCCCAATGGTACACTAACCAGGGCTGGACACCCGACACTAGCACGGCTTGCACTTGGCAGCATGACCTCACACACCTCACCATTCGAGGCCCACCAAACAGCCCCCAAAACCAAGCAGACACGGCGGACATTGCACATGATCCACCTGCACTACATTCACACAAGCTCCGCGAAGCATGGCGGACTACTCGCAATAGCAGGCATGGGCCACCTCCACCCGTGTCGATGCCACTGAAGCACAGCCACCGCCTTACAATGAAAAGCGCGTACAAGCAGCGCGCACGGCAGCGCAACCTAGCACACACCACTTTAGCATTATGACCGGTGGGGTCATTAGCAAAGCACACCATGCCATCATGACTTTCAAAATCCCACCCACTGACATTGCTAAGCAATGTTACGACTGCCCCGAAGTGGGCACCTGGACGCATGTTTGTTGGCACTGCCAGGGCAACCCGCCCCCAATCCAAATCCGTAGCGACCGACTCCAGGCGAGACTCGGTTGGCCCAGGGTTGGTGAGAATTCACAGCATTCACTAAACCGTGAATACAACGGACAAGTACTTTCACAAGAGGTACGACACAGTTGAGCAGCAGTTTGCTCCACCAGAGCCATGACGGCCTGCAGTACACGGCCTGCCCCCTGGACCTCTCCAGTGGTGGGCGGTCGTGGTGGACTTTACCATCAAGGTGGCTGGAGGTTACTGGGCAGTTGGGGTCACCATGCTTGGATGCCGCCGTAGCGGCCATAGTTGTAGTGCAAGAGCTTCTTCGCTGGCTCCAGGACTTCAGCACTGACCTAGACTGAAAAGCGGGCAGCAATTTCAGTGTTGTTCGAGAGCTTTACTCTGGTCATTCGTCGACCTCGCTGTGGCTTTTGAACCTCCAGCAAATGCCTTTTTTTCCCGACTCTGTGGAGCCTCCACCCAAGCGACCGACCTCAGCGAATTCCAGAAACTGGAACCCTGGAACCGTCGCTTCGTACCCCTTCGCACTCCCTGTCTCCTTTCCATTTTCCTGTAAAACTTTCCCAAACGCTCGATGAGACTGGAATATACTGGAACATTTACATATACATCGGGCTGGGGTCAATGTTTATCCATATCTGGGTTGTGCTTCTTTGTCCCACGGAGTCCCGTGTCTGGGTCACACCGAGGCACGGTTCCCCAAGGTGCCGCATCTGCTTCCTTAAGGGGAAGGTGAGCAGTTTTCCAACAAAAACGTCGGGTGGACCGTGGTTTTCCAACATGCGGAAGCGGGATGTTTGTTGTTTTGTTGTTTTTCTTTTACACCGAAATACCACCCAACAACATGGCTCATGGGTCATGGCATCTGCGGGAGACCGACCGGTTCCGCTGGTGTCGGTTCTGCCGTTCGTTGCTCGCTACGTGCAGAAGCGGGGGCTCCAGGTGGGTCGCGACCCAAGAAAAAACAGGTGAGTTCACCTTGCCCAGGGCATCCAGTTATCACTATATATAGCTGGTAAGCAGTGGTTTCAAAGACTAACACCATAGACCTAGAATCCCTGGTTCCTTAGTCATGTTTGTACCTTCAAGAACTTGCGTGGCAAACTATTTGGGATTCTGTAATGCCAAGTCTCATAAGCGTCCTGCTTCCGAGTTCCATGATTGCAAATACCTTTTTCGCAGGCACGGGTTCACGGCCACTCCGTTGAATGACGGACTCTTTCAACGCAAACAGATACACACTGGCCAACACTATAACTCTACTGTGTGCGGCGTGGTTGTAGGTTGTCTTGGAAAGCGTCGAAAAGGCAAAACTAGGCAACACTGTGTATTTGTGTAGCCAATCAACCCAAAGTCCCAAAGGCTTCGTTGGCCGCTGCCTTGCCAAGGTCCACTCTAAATCCCCAACAATTCACGAAGCGAAGAAGTGATTTCTTCCATGCTTTGACACCAAAGCTTCCCAACTCAGGGCAAATCACAGGCGTTGGGAACATCACGGGACGCACGAAGCCGTTGACACCAACGTTCCGCCGGGGCGACGTGACGTGACACCGCGGACGTCCCGAGCGGCTGTAGCCCCACCACTTGAGCAAGGGATTCTCTGCAGGATCCCTGTCTCGATGCTCGTGATCTGACAAGATGTCTCGGAAGGTGCTGACATCCTCAAGAGCGAACGCGGAGATCAAAGCGATCAAGTGAGCAGAGAATTTTAGCGTCTTTTTAGGCAGTGGTACCATGCATTTACCTGATGAACATCCTGAAGATCAACAGCAACCCAAATAGGGGAACAAACAAATGAAAAAGCATAAACAATGACAAACAACTCCAAACAGTACGGCACAGACAAACCGACACGACTGCAGCCCAGGTGTCCAACAGTTTGCCCTGCTTCATCTGCTCTTGAACCAAGTCCCAGCCTCTTGAGCTTCGGCATCCATTATTGTTCCTCAGACAACCCCAAACACTCCATTTTTTGGGCCGTACCCCATGGCAGCCACCTCCTGCTCCAGCCAATACAAACACACCACAGTTTGGTTGCTTCCCTTCTTTTTGCCTACATTGAGTATTGGAACCACGCCGTAAAATATGTAAATCATACCCAAACAGGTCGTGTCGATGGCTGGGCTCGGACGCGAAGACCTGGTTCAGGAGTGAAGCGGAAGGCTTCAGCCCTTTAACGGGAATACGACCGGTGATCGACCATCGTTCAACCTGAAAAGAGCTCCTACCAATGAAGTTGTTGAAGAGCTACGACCCCTTTTGTGGCGGATTGCATGTCGATCGGTACAACAAACCCAAACACTCCATGGGACTGGCATCTTTATACATCTTTACCTGCCTATATATTCATTGACCCTAGCTCACCCCTGGCCCAGTCTCCGCCAGTCCGGCAGTCCCAAACAGGTCGTGTCTGGGAGAAAAATGTCCTCGATCGTCCATCACAGAGAATCCGTTCCAGAAAACGGCTCGTCTCGGATCGTATCCTGCAAAGAACCACCAACTGGCCACATATATGGTCACGTGCCTTTTTCAAAGACTTCCGAAGGAAAACCAAGCCAAATGAGCCCAGCTCATCTGAACATTGGAGTGTATCGTTCTTACATCAAAATTGGACATTCAAGAAACATCAGTACTGAGCACCTCTTTGAATCTCTTTGATTCTAATATCCAAAAATCGAGGTCAAAGAACGGCCTATAAAAGTTCACTGGATGGGCCAACATGATCGCTTTGAAATCTTTGAAGGAGCCGGCACATCTCAGCTTCCCAACATCTTTCAGAATCATGCAAATCCTCATGTGAGGCGCTCTGAGTGGAGTCGAATCTCACGAACTGAGCCCTGGGTTCTGTTCATCAGACTCTCGATCAATCACCCGCGATTTGGAGCATGAAATCTTATGTAGGGGGGATTATTCATCAGATCAAGAGTCTACATTAATCTGTTGTCCATCCAAAAAACCCTCCGAACTGGGAGGCCCTGGTCTCATCTGGTCTCTCCTGTTTGGTTCTTCAAATCAATGCAGACTCCAAATCAGTGACTCCATCAGTGACTCAAAATCGGTGGTGGCAAGCGTCTGGGTCGCATGAAGCTCGGCTTCAGGAAGGTTGAAACCTGGCGAGTCCGGAGCACATCCGATCCTTGACATCCCACCGTCCAATTCGGGTGAACGGGAAAACCCCCGGAACCCCTGGGTCCGAAGAGCCAAAACCTGCCCCGCCACGTCACATGGAGCATACGTAACCAAGTGTAGAATGGAGCATCAGTTTTTGGTCAGGCTCCTATCTTTCCTACTCCATCCTACTCCTAACTTTGAAGCTTCAAAAACTCTTGTTTTATGTCTTGTCCTGCCAACTGACTCGGCCTGTTCCACCCACTGTAAAGGGCAAGGGTTTCACAAAGGTGCGATCATCAAACAAGAATAACATAGAATAACTACATGGAAATGCAACTCTCTGAGGATGAAATACACACTTTGATGTACACCAAGAATGGAGCCATTTCCAATATGTTCCAATGTCCAGCTTGGCCATTCAAGATTCCAGCTTGGACATTCCTCCATTCCTCCATCCTCACTGGCACCCTCTTTCGCACGCGCTTTGGCACCCTTCCCTGCCCGGGACCCTTCAACTCCACGAGCTGGATGCCAAGTTACCATTGAGCTCTTTGGACTGGTAGCAGTTCACCTCATCGATTGAAACAGCAGCTTTGAGATTGGTTTAAAGATAATGAAAGATACGAAGCCTCAAAAAAACACTGAGGTAGGTTTTGGAGGCTGAAGGACAAAGAAGGTTCCCACACGTTCCGGGCCAAATCAGGGCGGATGAGGGATGCTTTGTGGAGGGTCACCTGCAATGACGAAACATGCTTTGCAAATTGCTCACCTGCAATGTTCGGGGCTGACTCTCCTACTGGAGGCAGGTGTTCATGTTCCAAAAGCCACCTGTTCAGGGACACATCCACCCAATTCAATCATATCCACTAGGAAAGTAGTCGCTCTGTTCTCCTAAGTGGACACCTAGTCACTATAGTCCTCTCAACAATGATTGTTTCTCGGCTTGTATGTCTGCGATCTCCCCACGTTTCTCGGCTTGTATGTCTCCGCTTTCGGAGAAGCCTGGAGCGCTCTGAAGCCAGACCGGTGATGGGTTCCAATCATCTGAACAAATAGATCCAGGGATGTCCACTGACCACGTTCGATCTTTCTGGGTTTTTCGGTTGTGTGTATCCTATTCCCGGTTCGATGATGATGGTTCAGGCCAGCCCGGCCTTTGGGGAAAAAGGTTGTTTACTTGCTTGTTGACCCCTTAGAGGTCGAACAAACGATGACTACGACCTGATCAGACCTCATCAGGTCTGACAGCTTCGCACCGGTCCGGTCCGCCGGTCGGGGCCGTCCAATCGCGCCGCCTGGGTCCAATTCGGTCCATTCGCGCCGTCACGTGGATTCACTGTCGGGTGTGTGCATTGGATTTTCTTTTCTCCGGCCGCTGGAAGAAGTACACACCTGTTGCAGGTTCCATGAGTTTCCTGGGACCCGGATCCGTTTGCTCCAAAGATTCTGTGCCGGGAGCCTCCGGGAGCCTCCAAGACTAGCACGAAATCCAACATGTTTCAAGAATCAACGTCCTGAACTTAATATAACTTAATAGCTCTTGGCCTCAGTCTTCGAAACTCTTGCCTAAAGACAATGACAAAAGTTTACCCACTGTTGCACGGTGGGCTGCCCCATGTGGATTCATTCACTAGCCACCTGCTAAAATAACATCCGGGCTGCTGCAATCGCCACGCCAGGGTTCTCCTGGTGTGTCAGCTCACAAAAAGTATGCCTAGTATGCCATCAACTGCCTACCCCCCAGGCTTGGCGGCCCTCGGTCTGGTACGAACCCCCCATACCATTCATACCCCCTGCGAGATGCGACCAAGCTGCAAGTTTAAAATAGGTACCGCAAAGCTCATGAATCGGTGAAAAGCTTATGAATCCAACTGAGTGATTGCAGTGATTACATGTTTCTTGATCCAACTAAGCCAGGACTCCTACCATATATCTGATAGGCATCTTAAGGACATCGGTTTATGCTTCGCATGCACGGACTCGTCTAAAACTCGGTTCCAGAGGTCCAGAGGTTCCAAAGGTCCAGAAGTCACGTCACCCTTCTTCCATCACCCTTCTCCTTGGAATACCTCTCATGCACGGCCGTGCCATAGGCACCCACCTCGACCTGAGCCAAATGCCCCTCTGCATCGGCGAGCATCACCTGACACGTGTGGGTCCGGCGAGGACCCCGGTTGAGGTGTTGGTTCTTCCCCACCTGACAAGTCGTTAACGGGTTGAACCATTGGTTCTTTCTCTAGATTTTGAACTAGATTGAGACACTCAACTTAAGTCTCTTTGTTAAATCGTTGAGTGTCTGTAGATTTTGAGAAAGTCGTTGATGTATTTCTTCCCCCCGTGCCAGGTGACAGTCTCTAGACCTCGAGACTGTGCCGCCTTCTCCTTCTCCTTCCGGGTTCCGGTTCTTGGCTCATGGTACATCGGGGGCACCCTCAAGTCAATACAATCTGCCTCCTTCGGCAACCGTGCCATGGCCCGGCAATCCTGGGCACCCCTGATGACTAGTGACTAGTGGTATGCATAGGAATGGTAAATCTGTGTCTCACGGATCCCGGGAAAAGGAAAGACACAGCGAGCGAAGAAGCCACTTCTCACCAACAAAAACAATAACGGTGCATCCTCTGCCGGCTGAAACACTGGACCCCACTGGGCAGAAACACTGACCTTCTTCACTTCGCCAAGCATTCCAAAGACCGTGTTTCTTGGACAAACAGGCCAAAGAGTGCCTGTTAGTGGTGAATCCCAAGGTTCGTGCCTTGGGCCTCGGATCTGGCCTCTTGATCGGTGCTCTCTGCGTCTGGTATGTTGATTTTCAAAGTCTACGGCACAGCCGATCGCACCACTCCCAAGAAGGAGTGATTTCAAGTCTCCACATCTCCCCACCAAAGCATGGCGTGATGCTATGGGATGGTGCCATATGTGATTCTGAACCTGACTGTCTCCGCCCCCCAGTTGCGGCCCAGGAAGCGGAAAAAGCTGGCGTGATGGCCTTGGAAAAGGTTTGCAACACCAAGTCAACACAACTGCTGCTACAGGGATAGACGACCCTCGATACAGTATATGATATAATATTATGATATGGTATGATAATTTATGATATATATATATATTATTATATATTCCGATATTTCTTTTTTTAAAGCTAGCTACACTGGGGTTGTTTTGGAAGGTTTCCCAGGTCAGCCACGGATTGTTCACTCACCTTGGAATTGTAAGTGTAGCCAAAAGAGCAAGGTTGAATGTCTAGAGTCTAGAGATGGAGATGTAGAGATGGGAAAGGGGCAAAGTGGGCATGAGCAAGAGATGAGATGAGTTGGCCGGCAAACATGGACACCATCACATGTCTGAGGGACAACTGCAAATGAAACGCCAGCCATACAAGAGTGGGGAACCCATCACACAAAAAGTCTAACCATTGATTTAGTACAACATTGAGCTGATCATGGGCCTGTTCCAAATCGCAGCGTCGACCAAACACATTTTCGTGCTTAGGTGGATCCAAAGAAAAGGATGTTTCAGGGAACACAGTGATAGGTTGTAGGCAGTTGTAGGTAACCAGTACTTGCAAGAATGACACATGGACCTGAAACCCGCTTACTTGACTGCCATCCTTCACACGAAAACATGTTGGTTGGCTGCGATCAAGGCTTATGAAACTCGTCTTGCCCTGTGCAGGCTTCGTGGATGGTGCCCAAACCAAACCTGCATCTCGCAGTCAAGGAAAGTTTGACCAACAAATCCTGTAGGCTTTCCTCGGGAACCTACGTGCAGTGGACTAATGCCGTCGATTGCTCTCAGGCCATAGTATGTCTCTGTGATTTTATGCAAATCCTAATGTTCTCGTCTGTTTTCTTCAAGCCTCGATGATTGCTGTAGAATTCTTCTGCACTTGTTTAGAGCGTTGACATCCAAACCGGGAGACACGTACACCAAAGCCTCCAACAAAATCGCCCAAACACCAAGGCTGACAGCCATACGTTGTCATTCTACACTCTGTTCGTGTGCCCATCGATGTCAATCAGCGCAAGTCGTCGATGGCAATCCAAGCAGCAGGGATGTGCTGCAGCAAGTTCAGCGCATCATCCACAGTATGGCACTCATTCATCATCCGGCGGCTCACATCCTTGGCGGTAGCTACTAGACATGGGTGGCATGCAAATAGGAGACCTGCTGGCAGAAAGGACAACGTGACTGACGGAACAGGGGTATTTGTTTAGGACATGGACAAGCGTGTAAAAGTGATCGAAGCAGCCAGAATGCTTGCCGGGTGAAGGTCTTCAAGCTAAACTAACTCTACCGGGCCCTAAGAATCCGGGACGGGTTTTAAGGGTTCCGGACCCCTCCTCTGGTGGAATTCCAGCCTTTTGCTGATTTCGGTATCCAGTCTTTCAAGCCGCCATGATAAGCGATGCAAACAACCATTAACAATCCTGAGTGACCCGTTGAACATTTTCAGTTTGACGGTGCGCCATCTCCATGCACCGAGCATCGCAGAAGCGCACGGGTTCATGTCGCCCTTCCTCAGTGGACTGATGGGTCCCAACGATGTCAAAGCAAATACAGTAATACAGTGGTTTCAGAGTAGATGGCACGAGTTTCCCCAATGTCGGTGGTTTATATGGACCCCCAATGACCCAAAGACATCTTTAAGGTTTGTGCTATCTACTCTGAAGCCACTGTAAACAGCTTGGCAGGGCGATTTCTTGGCGCGGCGCGGCAATTTTCTTTCGGTGCCAAAAGGGCCAATCTCAACAAACACACGTGTGTTTCTTCGCCTTCTTTGGCTCAAGGCTGATATACCAGGGCTGTTCTGTCTATTGTTTATGCTGTCAATCCCAGAATCTATTGCATCGTTGCTAAGATTGAAGCAACACCTGAAACTAAAGTTGGTCCACACAAAACAACCAGCTCAACCTGGTTCTTTGGCACCTCATGGAACCTCAATCCTGCTAGCAGCTACTTATGGACAAAATGTGGTCGACCTTGGCTCAAAAGGCACTTCAAAAGGCACTTCGCAAGTCCGACGAAGTCCAGTGAAGTCACCTCAAAACCATTCTAAGTTCAAGTCCTCCTAGTCAAGTTCAAGTCTTTTAAATGGGCACCTCAAAACATCTAAAAACAGTCCAAAACGGGATGGGTCGCTCAACCCACCATGTTCACCCGACCGGCCCACCATGTAGCAGCGGCCAGACCGGTCGTACAGGGTCGGCATGTCTCCACCCATCACCCACCAGCCTTTTTCTGCCCAACATGGCATTGTTGGCGATAGAGGGGTCCCAATTATCGACGAAGACGCATCGCAACATGGTGTTCCTTCCTTCCTTCCTTTCCTCCCCAGGAGTCACATGGAAAGGAGTCACTCCTGGAGTGGTTTGATTTTTTAGTCCCATCCAGGGGCCGTGGATGTGATGTTCTGGGACACCCCATCTTATCCGATCGCTAGTAGGTTGGAGGCCATTGCTAGTAGAACATATTACAGTAGAATGTTTTACATGTAACATAGATTGGGAATCTGGGTGCCCAAAAAGGTGACGTCTTTGTTTCTTCCTTCCTACCAAATGCCTTTGGCCAAGGAGCCGGAACTCCCGTACCTCGACAGATTTGATCGTGGAAGGAACCAAAGGATTCTTAGTGGTTGATTGTTACCCCAAGGTCGGTGGTTTATATGGACCCCAATCGTGTCAAAACATCTTAAAACGTATCCTTTTCAATGTTTTGTTGTTTTTGAGGAGTCGAAGAGCTCAAGGATTGCATGATGTTGAGAGAACCTGGCCCAGGATATAAGTGGTCGCTTGGAAAAACCAGGTCCTGGTCTCACTTTCAGGAAAAGTTCAAAGGCTGAGCAGGATCACAGCGGCATGCTGGATCTTTCTCCAAGCTCTTGAGATGGGGGCTCTTCCATGGGTGCGGTTGAGGAGTTGAACAGGATAAGATTCTATGCTCTTGCTTGAAAAAACATACACAATCATACACACAATTCATATTATGATCATGATTTGTATCATGATCGTCCCATCATGCACCAGAAAATATAAACAATAACAAACACATGTCCCGGGAACTTGCAAACCAGGGTGCGAGCTACGTCCCGGTCGTGAAACCGATCACTTCACCAATCTCAACCGACCCATCGATCAACCGAGTCGGGCCCCGACAAAGAATCGCAAGTGACCAAGGTACGGGTGAGCAAAAGCCACATGTACTCGCACCACGGAATTCGGGTGGTTGATAGACACCCCTGTGCGATGTCTGATCCCTCCAACCACCCGAACCACCCGAAATCCCCGTGGTGCTGGAAGTGGCATGGCCCCGAGTTCGGATGAAGAAAAACATCATCTATTAGATAGGTGGTGGTGGTGCCATAACTACGTAACCATGATTGTTTCCATTCTTCAAGTAAGTCCCTATAAGATCTATATAAGTCCCTTTGTCCTTTCCAAGTTCTTTTCTTGGTTCCGACCGGTTGGTTCCGACTCAATGTTCGGCGAGCCACACCAGTCCATGACGTTCCAAGAAACTCCGACTCGACCAAGTTCCAAGGGGTCGCATCTATAGAGTCTTGATTCATTTCAAATCCCCAGTCGCATGGATTGTAAAACTTCTTCAGGCCTGGAATGAAATCCCCACTAGATGATTTCATTTGAAGGGGTGGGTCTACCAAGAGTCTAGGATTACTCTCTAAATCCCTTTCACCATCTCTCACCTCTCCTGACGCGCCCGCCAAGCCGTGCCCACTTCACCAGGCCACGAGCTTTGGGGCGCTCCACGGCCAAAGCGATGGCGAATGCCAAACCTGCAGAGTTCACTCCACGACCCACTTCACCAGGTTCCACTTGGAAGGGCGGCCTAAGAGCAGCTAGAGCCGAGCCGAGCTTCCTCTTTGCGCGCTCCATTTGGGCCACGAAAGGTGACGAAAAAGGTCACGATAGGTCCAGCGGTCGACGACGACATGTCGCGAGTCGACGACTGACATTGGGTGACTCGACGACACGTCAGAGGTGGGTTCTGCGGCTCGAAGGGGCACCTTTTAAGACGAGACCTGATGGCCAGCACCAGCACAGGTCTTAGTAAGTCTGATCCACAGGGTACTCAAAGCCAAGTTTTGGGGAAAGCAGCACTGAAGGATCCTGCACAGCTTTGAGTTGTGAGGTTCCTTCAACCACCAGATGGTCTTTCAGGCCAGGATTTGGGAAACAAACGGTTCATTGAGTTTTGGATCCTCATGCAGAACCACAATTCATGACAAGAATGGTAGATCAGCCAATGGCATGATTCCCAAAGCCTTGAAGCGAGATGCTTCAATTTTTTGAGCGCAGGGCCATATTATGTTCCAAAACTCAGCCCACAATGATCACAACTTTTGATTGGACACCACTGATTACATTGCATCATTAGGCCACATAAGTCTTCACATGGCATCTTGAGGATAAAACAAACTTTACATGAAATGGATCAACATCTTTGATCGTGCCTGGATGTATCTTAACATATGGGACATGAAACATGTGTTTTTTTTTGCATCTGCGTACTCAAAATGGCAAGGTTGCACACTGGGTCCTATCCTGCGACCCACGGAGGAATGGTGAAGCATCCTATCATGGCTACGAGCCTCTTGAGCTAGCTAGCTGTTTCATGCGTCGCGATCCATTCACACAACTCAAATGGGTGCCCCAAACGAAAAACGCCCATGGCAACGGCCATCAAGGACTGTAAGGACCCAAAGGAATCACCCAAGACATCACATGCATAGCTACACCCAAGACATGTATAATCTTTCGGCCCTTCTGACCGGAGGGACCGTTGCCATCGCGTAAGGGACCAGTTGTCGAGTCTGTCATCGTCTGTCCACCACCGGAGTTGGGGGGGTTTGGGGAGGATCCACTCTCTCGGCAGAAGCCGCCGAGTCGTTGAGTTCACGTGAACCCCAAAACCAAACCTGACTTCTTTGGTTTTCGCAGAACAAAAAAACAGAGGAAAACAGTAGTGTGAACAGATGTGGAGTGGTGTGAACCCAAACCAAACTGCATGTTCAATGTTGAGTGGGGTGTCCCCAATCACCCAAACGTTGGTCGTGAAGGTGATCCGCTTCTCCAAGATATGAAACAAAGTACCTTGTCTAACATCTTCTTCCACTGAACACCTTCTTCTTCTTCGTCTTCTTGTTCTTCTTCCTCTTCTTGTTCTTCTTCTTGTTGTTCTTCTTCTTCTTCTTCTATGACTCTATGAAACAAAGTACATTTCCGCTGAAACAGAATACATCTTCTTCTACGTCGTAGTCTTCGAACATCTCGCACTGAAAACACCCGCTTGACGAGCGGCTCCAGATCCGAGCGATCCTTGATGGCCGCAGCAGGAACCAAGGGGAACCAGGTACTCCTACTTCGCCTACTTCCGCGAGGAAGGTCGAGCACCTCAACGTCTGTCCATGACTGCCAAGTGGGTGTGGGGAGAACCCCACCTTCCAACTCAGGGTTTTGGTCTATTTTCCTTCTTCCGGGGTCGTTGGTTGGGAGGTCTCCCCATTTGAATCGACACCTCCCATGTCCGAAGCTACGTCAACTCGCTCAACTCGCTCACAGCGTCCGACCGATCGAGCGTCCGGTCCCGGTCCCCTGATCGCTGGCCTTTCAACAAAACACAGCTAATGGTTGACCCTAATGTAAACTCTTGATAAATGACCCCCCTCTAGTAGTAGTTGTTCAATCCCGTACTAGTAGAGGTTGTTCAATGAACCCCCCCCCTAGTAGTAGTAGAAGAGGTTGTTCAATCCCGTGAAATTGATTCATCAAGAGCCTACATGATCCTACATTACAGATTTGAGATCAAGGGCATTGTCCAGTTTGCGAGGATGATGTCGCTGTTGGACACCACCAACTCATGAAGTCGGAATCAGCTGGGTAGACCTCGGGTTCTGACCATCGGTTTACTTCGACTTGCTTAAGGAACGTGGACAAACATGAAACATATTCCATTCCCCAGGATTGGGGATTTAACCATAGAGAAAATTAGCCATCACCTGATCCGCAAAACCAGGTTTAAGCGTGCAACCAATCTTTTTGGCACCCACTTCTTAGTGGTGCTGGGATGGATCCAATTGGTGGGAACCAGTGGATGGACATGATGCAACAGGAAAGTAATCATTTGCTGGTTCCTGCCAGAGGACCACATAGAAAATTGGTTTGGGATTCATCTCCACCTGTCTGTGACAGGTGTCTTCCCTGCATACTTAGTTGCCCAGGACATCCACAATTACGCAGCACAGGCATAGAAACACATAAGGCAAAGAAAAACAAATGGCCCGGCCAGTAGCCTGCACAAAATCCATGGGTGTTCAAGGAACAGCTGTCAACCCATGTTACTCCCGTAGGGATCGTCCACTGAGCTCCGTTTCGCCTTAGACCGGCCATGGTTCTGTTGCGTAGACCAGCTCCGTTCCCACATGGCCCAAGCAGTCACCACTGGGGAGAGCCGCATGGACGAAGGTGCGGAAGAGGTATGGGTCCTTGGTGCAAAATCGGATCTTGGATTTTGCTATCCAGGAACCGCTTAAACCACTTTCCAATATACTGCCCATCCAAAAAATTTGGCGTCTTGCTTACATTTGCTGTCCAAGAACAAGGAACACACAATTTTCTCCGCAAAAAGGGGATGGAACTATGGAATGCTATGGAGCTGTGGTTTTGATTGCAATAGCTGGATTATATATCTGGATTAACATGACCATACAGGACCTGCACAATAGAGCTTCACCCAGTTCATCACCGGATCAGCAAAACCCAGGTGATGGCGAACCAGGGGATGGCCCCTGTTGGACCAGTGTCTGCACAGATCTGCTGCTAAGGGTTTCACTTTCAAGATCCGTAAGGGGGTTTCAGTCGTCAATCCCCTTGTGAACCAAAGGGGCCAAGGGTCTGTATACCAAAGTGAATACCAGTTTTTCACTGACAGCATCCAAGGGAGTGGCAAAAAAGAAAGGCACAGGGCCAGCGGCCCACCACGGAAGGACAACAAAACTCCACACCTGGTGGATCCCAGTCAAGCCATCGGGCATCAAATGACACACAAATCCAAGGGTTCCAAGAATCTGAACGCAAGGCGTGAAGAGATGTGAGCAGGTACTTGGAGCTCTAGGGAAGCATATGCACAAACAGGTGTGGTTTTGGACTCAATCACTGTGGCGACCCTCAAACAAATCCAAACCAGTCGGCCATAACTACCAAGACTCGTCGCTGGTGGAACCGATCCTTGGCTCACACAGTGCGACACACGCTATGCCGGTGGCATGGAAAAGGGACCACAATGACATGTTGAAGTGAAGGAGTGCCGCTTGCAGCACTAACAAAAACTGATAAATACAATGATATATATTAAACTATAACATGCGTGATGTTTACAAATTGGATCTGCCCAACGGTGACTTTGCAAAGACCTGTGCTCAAGATCCCCGAACAGTTCCACCGACCCTGCACAGCACATGGACTGCGGCAGGGCTGCGCATGGACCACCTTTGGTGTGGAGGTTTTCTCTGCCGGAACATCGCATCTCCAACCCCCCACAGTGGTTTCTATGCAGAGTGCTGGTGCTCCTCGCCCCTTGAAGCCCGTCTCCGCGCGCCTGGGCGTTCTGCAAGCCTCGAACTGTGTCACTATGAGGCGTCGAATCTGCCGTGTGGCACGGTTTTCTCGCCTGTCAAATGCTTCTTGG